TAATACCCTCTGCAAGGGTATAAAAATTACAATTTGTAATTGCGACAAGGCAAGCGTATCTTGAAGATATATATATTTTCTGTACTTGCACTGCATTAACACAACATTTTTGTTGTTGTTTTGGCTGCCCAGCGAAGCGTATTAACCTAACTGTCAACCGTATTTGTGTTAACTGCTTTTTCTTGCCCCTTTTTTGATGGTAACTCATTTGTTATTCGTGGAGCTGCATTTCAAGCTGGTTGCACTTACGTGCATAGCTAATTACCATCGCAACACTTGACTCTTCTCATTGGGAACTAGGTGAAATGTTTGGTAAATTATTCACTAATTACGCTGAGAGAAGAGGGAAGATTTGGGGGTAATCTAAAGCAGGTTTTCTTATTCAGTTTTATAAGTTGCAGACTCTCAGAAAATGTTTACTGGTCTTAAATCACATTCGGCTTAATTTTATATCATCTTTTCGTGCGAAAAGTTGTTACAAATCAAAGCTGTTGAAGTGCTTACTCTTCCGTAAAGATAAATGAGAATTTTCCGAAAATCAGACGGGATTCCACCGCAAATCCCACTGCAATTACGTTTGGTAATAACCGCTGGAAAGCAGCGGAAAAGCAGCGGAAAAGCGAAATGCCAAAGATGTTACTCAATTGCGCTGTTTTTCCCGATGCACCTGATTGCCGCCCGCTGGGCTGCTTAACTCAGCGGGCTGCACAGATATGTCATAACTCAGCTATATGTATCTCCGACCTGCCACGCCCCCCTTTCCACTTATTTATGCAATGCAAGGCGGGTCGCTTTGATGTGCCCCGCCCTCCTGTGGCGAAGTATTTCACAATTTCCCCAACTGGTGCCTGTGAATTATGCGACATTTATTCTTGGATCTTTCGGCTGCACATCTGCCAGGCGATTTGCTATTATGCGGACATGTGTAATATTCTGACGGGGATTCCCCATCCAAGATCTTCTCCCCTTTGGAAGCTGTCATCGCCAGAAGGCTGAGAACAAAAAGGGGGAGTGGCAAAAGTGCCGACTGCGAGTTTTCTCAACTCTGCATTCCCAGCTGTCATCGGCAACTTTTGCAATACGTTGCGGTAATGTTATCAAATCGCTGTTCTTGGCTGGATTTCAATACCAGGGTTTTTGTTTATATTATATCAAAAGCAAAGGTGTCAGCAATGGGGTTAATAGTTAATAGAGCTTGTAGGAGTACTAGGTATTTAATAATGAGCAACAAATATATTCCAAAATAAAAACAAGAAAGGAAAGCTAACTTCGGGCGGAGCCGAAGTTGATATACCCTTGCAGAATATTTTATAAATTATATTGTCCAAAATTATTCATATGATGTATTCTTAATACTCATAAAATGTCCCAACTTCCTAACTTTAAAAACACCAAAGTTATGTCATTTCCAATCGTTCAGTTATATGGCAGCTATAAGATATAGTCGGCCGATCCTTATGAAATTTGGTAGGTCGGATTGATTAGCCAAAAATAAAACCCATAGAAAATCCCAACTTCCTAACTTTAAAAACACCAAAGTTATGGCTTTTCCGATCAATCAGTTATATGGCGGCTATAGGATATAGTCGTCCGATCCTTATGAAATTTGGTTGGTCGGATTGATTAGCCAAAAATAAAACCCATAGAAAATCCCAACTTCCTAACTTTAAAAACACCAAAGTTATGGCTTTTCCGATCGTTCAGTTATATGGCAGCTATATGATATAGTGGCCCGATCCGGCTCGTTCCGACTTATATACTACCTGCAATAGAAATACAACTTTTGGGAAAGTTTCAAGCAGATAGCTTTAAAACTGAGGGACTAGTTTGCGTAGAAACGGACGGACAGACGGACAGACGGACAGACGGACGGACAGACGGACATGGCTAGATCGACTCTCCTGGTGATGCTGATCAAGAATATATATACTTTATAGGGTCGGAAATGTCTCCTTCACTGCGTTGCAAACTTTTGACTGAAATTATAATACCCTCTGCAAGGGTATAATAAAGAAGAAAAAGAAAGAATGAATCATAAGATTATTAATAGAGATTCTTCTTAACTAAATTATAATATAATATAAATTTAATTTGGATATTATTTAATACTTTAAGGTAATAACTAATACAACACTTGTTGAAAATTGACAAACTACCTATGTTTTTCTATTACCTTCAAATATATAAACAAAATAGTGATGACTTTTTCCGGCCCCCTTTTCCTATTTGATGATGAAAAGGACCAAAGAATACATGATTTAAGGACCTTCGCTGAATACCTAAGCCGATTGATGACACTTATATGGGTTCTAGTATTGTCTTGTCTATTGTTTTTGTTGCTAATGCAGTTGGGCATTTTCAGGATTCCAAGGCGAAGAACAAAAATTAAGCCAAGCTCAGTGTAAACCTATATTGTTTTGTCATTTCTTATAATAAAATGTATGGTAACTGCATTATGTTGGTGGCTCAAAACGAAAAAAAAAGACAAAGAGATTTCATAATTATATGCGTCATTTGTCGGAATTAATTGCCATTCAAAGCAAACAAGAATGTCGAAAAAAGAGACACGTAGTTGTATCTACATATTCGAATGTATCTTTGTATCCACAGCTGACCACTTGAAATATGCTGCCCAACTGCACTCAACCAAACTGAGCACACAAAAAAACCAATGTGAATCACGGAATTGGATTGACGTTTTATCTTAATAGTGGACAAGGTCAATTAGTTGAAATGCCATCAACGAAATATAACATTTAAATGGCAATTCAATGCTGTTTAGATGAGGAAAAGTAGAATTAGTTAAAAACTGATCTGCCTCAATGGTTTTGATTACTTCGATGAAAAGCTATTATCTTTTCAGATATATCTTTAAATGCTTTGTGGTGCATTTTATTACGTAATTTAATTTTTTACTGAAAATGCGTTGCTATTTTCGACTGAACCTGAGGATCAACCCTCAACCTCCCCTTTGGGCTATATATTCCCGATCCAAATACTTCTTCTTCCTGTTCAACACAAAGACAACTTTGAAGGAGCTAACAAAAAGCAGCTTTTATTTCATTTGTATTTGTTTGTGCGTTGTTCCTGGAACGCATATCCTAATGTATCTGTGTTTGTGAAAAGGATTTACGCCTGGTTTTTTTTATTGTGTGAGTGCTTGGTTTCTTGTACATTTCGCACATATCTCCGCCTTTGTTGTTGTTTGTTTGCAGGCAGATAGGTTACCAGATACCTGAGCTATGATTTCGCCTTGAGACTTAGACTTCATTCAGGTGCGTTTCGTGTGTACAACTTGTGTATCTGCGAGTTCTTCTGCTGGACAAAAACGAGACGGGTATATACTATGTTTGATCTATTTTTCGGCTTTAGCTTTTTTTTTCTTTTATTCTCCTTTCACGACGTTCAGCATTTCGTGTAATTGAAAAAGCATTTCAAATGCAGCTGCGTAAATTTCATTGCGTATTCCCTTTTGACAACAACAACAATGGTAGAACAAGGATAAATGAGGATGTTTCTGGAGTACAGTTGAGTTCGAAGCTCCCGAAGTGCAGAAATAAAGAAGTTTTTTTTCGATGAGGATTTGTAAAAGACATGTTGGGGTTGCTCTGGAGTAATGGATGTGGAAAGGTGGTTCCAAATGACAGAGGTGGTAAAAGTTTTCTAAATGATTTATTTCGGAAAAAGGAGTGTGGGTAGGAAGTAGGAGATGTTTGAAGTAGGCATTCCCTTTTTTATAAAGGAGGTGATATGAAGAAGTGATGGAAGTTTCAAAAATACACACATTTCAATCTTTTTAAGTGTATTACGTTTTATATTGTATTAAAGGCTACGTAAAATAGGCAATAGGTATTAAAATATTCAGTATTTTCAGTTAATTATTAAAGACATTAAAGCTACTCAGTCACAAAATAAATTAAAATTAAGATAAAACTAAATAACCACTGAAAAGTTGTTAAATTACCTATAAATTGTCTTACCATTCCCATTGGTAAACAAAAGTAATATATATCTCAATTAAATTAAGCAACTCCTGCATTATTTAATCGAACCACTAACTCTCTTTGTGAACTGCTCCATATTCCGTGAATCATCTCGATCAATTTCACCCAATCTTTAAATCGTTCTTGTGCCCCAAGGGCTGTTCCCCTGCGAATGAATTCCGGGCTCAAAAACTGCAAACTTCCCAGGAATTTCTTAATAGCTTTTTACCGATATCTTTTTTTTATTCCCCCTGTTTTTTGTTGTTGTTGCTTCCAAACGAATCGAAACGAAACCGTTGATTTTGGTGGTCAAGAAAAAAGAATGAATAAAAGAAGGGAACTTTTGCTTCCACAAAAGTTGCGGGGCCACATTTTTCTAACGATTAAACAAATTCGAAGAAAACAAACGCATCCCATGCAACGAAAGGCAGTCTCACCTGCAGTTTCCAGGAATCGAAAAAGGATAATGGTTAAGAAAGGGGAGGGGGAAAGGTGAGGGGGGGATAAGAAACCGTAGACGAGGCCAACAAGTCAAGAAATCAGAAAGTTGTGTGCTCGCGCGTTGCATCAAAAACCTTTCGAAGCGGCGGCATTTTTTTTTTGAGTTGGCCAGCCCCAGAATTCTGAGAATTGAATCGTATATCTTGTGATTTTTTCCCCTGTCCTCTGGACTCGACTGTTTTCGCTTCTTTCTAAATGCTCGATTAATTTCTAATAAATTGGTCGGAAATGCTGCAGGCCAAAGATAGAGTTACCAACACAAATGCGATGCATTTGGCGTTTTTGAAATTTGAGTTAGTCGGCAGGCAACGTATTTCTCGGAACTACTTGGATGGGGAGTAGGCACTTCGACCCTATAGACTGGGTTTTTGCAACCTGCATTCCCCCCCTCGTCTAGACGTCTGTTTTCGTTTTTGAGGCAGAAAGCAGGCGCTGGATTTGCCATCAGGTTTTCTGTCAAACGCATCGAAATTGAAACTAATCGCCCAATATTATTTTCATTCATTCTCGTTGCAGCATTTGTCGTGTTCGGATTCGGATATTCAGATTTTGAGATTCGGTGCTCTCTACCCAGTTCGTTGAATTTTCTATGCCAACGCCAAAAAACTTATCAGCAACGATAGCGGCAGCGGCGGAAGTGATTAGGAAACCGGAACAATTCGCAGCAAGAGCGAACGTGGCGAGAACGACACACAAGAAATTAACTAAACAATTGCAAAATTCCCTTTGGCTAAGGATTTGCAGCGGCCGAATTGCTTTTATGCTCTGCTGGCAGCTACAAAATTCCACGAAATTCCATTTTGGCAACACGAAAACAAACAAATCAATACGCGGCATCACTGAGAACCTACAGGAGCAGCGGCAATACCCTAAAAATATTGGCAGAAATCGTAAACAACGTTGTTGTTGTCCCCGTCGTCATCATCATCATTGCCATCGGGATCATCGCCGTTCTGGCGCCGTTCAAACAACTTGGATCCTGAGAGTTAGAAACACCGATACGGAAACGGATACGGATACGGCTACGGATCGGGATAACGGTATAGATATAGGCGCAGCCACGGAGGACGCACAACTGCCTGCAAAATGGATCCGCAGCAGCAGTTCTGCCTCAAGTGGAACAGTTATTCGTCGAACCTGGCAATAACATTCTCCAATCTGTTCAAATCGGATCTGCTGGCCGATGTCACATTATCCTGCGATGGTAAGTGTTGCGCTTTATATAATTATATACTTACATTTATTATTAAACTATTATTAAATACCAGAAATGGTTATAAGACCACCAATATATACCTACATACATATATTATTAAATTATTATTAAATACCAGAAATTGCATTGACAAACAAAAGAAATAATAGTCGGTCATTTCAGTCCTTTTGAATTGCATTTTTCTAGTAAATTTATTAATAATAAATAATGCATTTAATGTAAAATAATTGACAGTTAACTCTGTGCTTTAAAATCATATTTAAACAGCATAATGTAGTAGTTAATATGACATTACTAAAACAGTTGTTAGATAATCTATTGCAATTTATCATATCTTTATAAGAAATGGTTATAAGACTAATCTTTGAAATTCCATTGAAAAACAAAAAAAAAAATAATATAAAAAGACTTCATTGCATTTTTCTAATCAATTTATTAATAATAAATAATGCATTTAATTTGTAATAATTGACAGTTAACTCTGTGCTATAAATTCATATTTAAACAGTATAAAGTAGAAGTTAATAAAAAATAGCCAAAGCAGTTGATATATGTACATTCTATTGCAATTTAAGATCGTATTATATAGTATTTCCTAGATGTATTGTTCTGATGTAATAATCATAAACACAAAACGTGCAAATGTGCCAACAATGAGTGTAGATAAGCCGTCATCCGATTGAGTTATTCCTATTTACCTACGACTCGCTTCCTTTTATGTACATATTCCCTGCTGCTCATGTTTATTTTTATTTTTCGCTAATAAGCCGGCAGACATTGATTTCTTTTTGCCTTTTCGCCGGTTTTGTTTGATGGGAGACGCGAAGTGGAAGTGGCTTTTATGGCCTGTCTCGTCCTTGTCTGTCAGCCACATCCCAACCATCCACACCATCCCATCCATCCCACATCCCCCAGTTATTTCTAGTCCTTGTCTGCTAGTTCATTTACGGCCTTTTACTACAGTTTTTATGCTGGCTTATTAAATGGCGTATAAATGCGGGCAAACCTATATAACAGCTTTACATACAAGGCATATACTTTTGTTTGTTTGATATGTATACTATATATATTTATTCAGGCTTTGACTGAGGTCAGTTATTTGGGAGCTCCATTGGGTGTATAAAATGTGTGTGCGTGTGTGTTTTGGGACCCTTGTTAACCTTATTTTCTTTCTCTTTTGATTTGGGTTTAAATATTTTCCGTCGCCGGTTGCTTTTCGGTGTTTATGTGTCGGAGCATCTTGGCTTATTTTTATGATTATTATGCAGAATATATATACCATTTAGTGTTCTCCTTTATTTCATATACTCTGTAGCTTAACCTTGGCTTAATATCAGTTTGTTAGCAGCTTGTTTTTCCACTTTAAATATTGCAAGTATTTTGAGCTATCTTTAGGCATATTTCATACGCCATGTGTGCGTAAGTATGGATTTTTTGCATTGATTGAATGAGTGGGAAAAGCAAGGGCTGACTGGGATTATTAAGGGGGGGATTGGATAAAGTGGAGTGGTTGGAGGACATACGCAGACAGCTCCCCAAAACAAAAACAGAAAAACCTAGACAAATCCTGAAACCCTTTTGGCTTCCTGTTCCTCAGTTTCCGTTGTCATTCATTCATATCAATCGAAGTGGTACTACTTTTGATTAAAATTTTCAGAGTTACACCCCAGCACACATACAATCCCCATTTTAACCCTTTGCTTTGACTGTTTTTAATTGTGGTTTTTAATATTTCTTTGGGGGGATAGGGGGTTTTACATGGAGTCCATCCAAATTCTGCATTTGTTATGTTTGATTTGGCTCTACTCGACTCTTTTGTCCATTTGGAAATGAAGCATTAAATATTTGTCCGTCTGCGAAAACAAAAGCAAATAACGTATGTTTTTTATTGTTTTTAATATTCATGTGGATATATTTGCTTGTCTTTTTTTTTTGTTTCTGATTGAAAAGTATGCATTGATGGAGTGTTGGTTTAGGTTTTGGGGGCATATTTAGCACTTGAGAAATGAGCATTTTTACCCAAATGAACATTTGCGTAGCCTTGGGCTATGTTTTTAATGGGGTAAATTATGGGGTTTGAGAAAAGGAGAGGTTTTAGATTTTAGGGGTTGCATTTAAAGGGGCTGAAAATATGCATTTTTGAAAGGAAGTCGTAGAGAAACATATTAAACAGGTCTACTATTGCCAGTTCTTGTAGTAAACACCACGTGCTTCTCTATTCATGATTCATTTGATTAGATTATAATCAACAATTATTGACCATAAAAAACCGAAAGTACTTGTTATTGGCAAACTGCATAATAGCAAACCGAAAAAAAACCCAAAATCAAAACAAATTGGGGAGTAAACGAAAAAACGAACGCAAACGCAGAACGTAAACAAGCAAAGCAGCTGAAAAATATATATATTATACATAATGTCATTTCTTTATCAAGGCCAGCTCATACAGACATATCGAAGTGAATTTGTATGGCAATATGTGTTCTCTCTTTTTTTTATTTTTGCCTTTCCTTTGTGATGATTGTGACCCAATTTTTGTTGTATCAAGTGTTAGAAAATCCAGCCAGCGAAATAATACAAAAAATACTTCTGGTAGCAAAACAAGAACGAATAAAAGTTTTTTTTTGGGCGGAGGGGTAAACAATAGAGTGTGTGTGTGTGTATGGCATATGTTAAATGCAATTTGCGTAGTAGTCTGGTACATTAATCAACCGATTATATAATACATTTGGCGAGATCAGCTAATCAGTGACGACGTAAATTGCGCATACGCCGCGTTGCTTAAATCACTTCCGAGTGTTTTTTTTTTGGGGCTCGCGCGATGCGTTCGATTTTGACCTTGATTTTGTTGTGTTTTAGTTGACTTGCCCCACGAACTGAATGTTGTTATCAGCCCTTATCAGCTGGTAAGCGCTGAGGCAAGACTTGACACAATTCTCTTGAATTCCAAATAGAAATAGACTGCACTGGCCGATAAGCCAGCCAAAAAAGAAATGAAATGTTGAGTGAGGAAATGTCTTAATGCATTTGCGCTTCAGCTGCTACAAAAATTTCACAAAGTGCCACCGAGAAAGTGTCAAACTTGAAATATATTTATGAACAATGTCGGCGGTAAATATTAGTAGCCATCTCGCTTTTCTCTATATTTTTTTTTGTATTTAGCTCAAAACACCGCTGTGCAAGTGTCGTTTCAATTTGGCTTAAGTAATGCTCGCAGCTAACACAACAAGTGCCCCATAAAGAAAAAGACATAACTTTCAGTGCCACCAAACATCCCCCCACCCAAAAAAAAAAAAAAAATATAAAAGAAGAGGAAAAGAAAAGTCGAAAGAGAGACAAGGAAACCGTGAAAAATGGTAGCCAAAAAGATTATATATACATACAGACACCACCAGAGAGCACATCAAAATACACTTCGTTTGGGAGTAGCGTTTTCCCAACATTGCGTATACGCCGGGTGGGTTTTTGTGTGACAGGTATTCGTGCAGTGCCGGGACACAAAAGATTGCCAGGACACCAAGACAAGGAGCAAGACCAAAAGCGAAACCAAGACGCCGCCCCGACATTGATGTTGAATAATAACTCAGACACACACATAGGAAAATGGCGAATGCGATGAAAAGCTCTTTGTGTCTGTGTAGTCAAGGGCGAGGAAATCATTTCCTTGCTGCGGCTTTTATTGTCCTCCGTGTACGTGTTTATGTGCGAGTGCCCGTCGTATATATTTGACATGATTTTTTATGAGTTCAAGGTCTCGGTTAGCGATTCGGCGCCACCTGTTGGCAACCTTTTATGGGTCGGGATGTGGCCCAGATTAAAGCATCTTAATCGGAAAACCCTTGCAGAAATATTATACAAAATATAAGCTCGCCATAAGTAGTACTACATTAGAAATAACTCTTTAAGAGTTAGCTAGCTGACTTGTTCTTTTAAAGTATTTGAATGTATCTTATAACTTTGAAGTTATTTTACTATTAATATATTAGCTTAAAATAGAGGAATTATAGATAATATTATCCATTTGTTATTTAAATTTGATGCTATCTTAAATTGTATCTTTTAGCTTAATATACCTTCCTTCTATAATCTTTTCTTTCACATTTTAACCTATAATTTCCATTTCTTCGCTTTCAGGCGTAGTATTCAAAGCACACAAACTTATATTGGCGGCCTGCTCGAAGAAGTTCGCCGATCTGTTCGAGAACACGCCCACAAATGGCCAGTGCGTCATCATCCTGGAGGCGACCACGCCGGACAACATGGCCGCTCTTCTGGAGTTCATGTACAAGGGCGAGGTCCACGTCTCCCAGGAGGCACTCAACAGTTTCCTCAAGTCCGCCGAGAGTTTGCAGGTTGGTTAAGTACTTGATAAACTAATATAAGAATAATAATTGGACATTGGATTATATGTAAAATCATTTTCTTTAGATTTTTGCGATTTTAGAGATCTATTATTTGCCTAGTTTTTAAACAAGAAAAATAAGGATTTCCAAAGCCAAGAAAGTATATATTTCTTTCCTTAGCAACAGCTAAATAAAATATATATATAAAAGACAACAACAATACTCTTTAATTGTTTTGCTAGCAACTACTTTTCATTAAGAGTAATGATATTTTCCGATATTCTTTTCATTTTCTGCCTTCCGTCAAAATGTGGTCATTATTTTTTTTTTAAATTTTAATTTAACAATTGCTGATACTTTGTCTTCCCTCTCCCAGGTCAAAGGTCTGTCCACGGAGACGGGTCGCCTGGCGGCGCAGCAGGCACAGCAGCACATGGGCGACTCCTCGCCGCTGGACTCGCCGACCGGTCGAAGGAGCATACGGAACAGCCTGACCGGCGGGAGCAGTATCGTGCCCGGAGGAGCCGGAATCGGACTGGGAGGAGGCGTGTCGGGGGCGAACGCGATGCCGGGAGGCATGGGCATCGGCAACGGACTGAGTCTGGCCGGGATGGCCGCAGCCGGAGGAATGGCGGCGGCTGCCAGTGTGGCGGCCAGTGGCCTGAGTGCCCTGGCGGCCAGTGCGAATGCCCTAGACAGATGCGGCAGTGCCGGTGGCAACATCATCGGCGGAACGGCGGCAGGGATCGGGGGACAGCATGGCGGCGGTGGAGCGGGAACCGTCGGCGGAGGAGTGGGAGTCGGCGGCAACGGAGTGGGCAGTGGTGGTGGTGGCAACAACGGACCCATCAGCCTGGGAAGCGGCGCTGGCGCTGCTCACCACCTGGGCGGATCCACCGGCAGCCTGAAGCAGGAGTGCGACTCGCTGATGCACCCCGGTGGCAGCAGCTCCTCCTCCGGAATGGGCTACGTGCCGCCCATCTACCGGCCCATCTCCTACGAGCCGCTGCGCAAGCGGCCGCTCCGCAGCCCGTATCCCGAGCAGGAGCAGCGCGGCTCGGTGCTGCGCGACGGCTCCAAGTCCTCCGAATGCCCCAGCCCCATCAACAAGCCGCCGTACCATCGCCCCTCCTCCAGCGCCTCCTCCACGGCGCCCACCGAGGCGGACACCATGCACTCCGAACGCGCTTCGCCGCAGTCCAGGTGGGTCCTCTAAATGGAATTATTTCGGGGGGTTTAAAAGGGTTTGTTACGGGGGGTTTAAAATATTTAACATTTATTTATATATTATATATATGTAAATTTAAAATTTAGTTTGCAACTGCTATTAATAATTATTATTAATTATTTTGAAACTGACACCATTTCTTATCTCTAATATTTCTTAGTTTAAAGGTAGAAAAAGAATTAAAGCTTAGCTTATTGCTATATTGTGGTTGTTTTACAAACCTTTTTTTGTTGATTAAAAAATTAAATTAAAGGGGAAGTACTTTTTATGTAAGTGTCTATAATTAATTGAAAAGAAATGAAATGTACTTCTGTTTACAAAACCATATGCTTAAAAGCAAGCAATTCAACGTGAGCTCTTCTGAGTTCATGAGACGTAGATGGTTCCCAATTAAAATCGGATTTGGTATAAGCTGTGACTAACTCCTCCTCAATTCCGCAGTCGCTACGAGAACCACAGTCCCAGCACCACGGCGGGAAATGGGAATGCCACCAGTGGCCTGGATCGCATAGTGAAATCGGAGCGCAACAATGGCAGTGCCAACGAGGCTAATGACGACGACCGCGAGCTAATGGACGAGTCCACAGATGTAAGTAGTACTTACATAAATTCCCTTAAAAATTGTAAATATTTGCAATTGATTTACCCACAGAACGGAGCCGAGGATCTGCGCGTGAAGCTGGAGAACTTGAAGTACTCCCCGCCACCGCCGCCGAACTCGAACACCTCGTCGACCACGCCCAACGCCCTGCTGGAGAACCTGAAGGCGGACGGAACGCTGTCCAGCAATCTGGCCGCCTCGATAGCGCCGGCGGACATGCTGAACGTGTGGAACGCCACCAAGATGAACAACAAGAACAGCGTGAACACGGCGGACGGCAAGAAGCTGAAGTGTCTGTACTGCGACCGCTTGTACGGCTACGAGACGAATCTGCGGGCGCACATCCGGCAGCGCCACCAGGGCATCCGGGTGCCATGTCCCTTCTGCGAGCGCACCTTCACGCGGAACAACACGGTGCGGCGTCACATTGCCCGGGAGCACAAGCAGGAGATCGGATTGGCGGCGGGCGCCACCATTGCACCCGCCCATCTGACGGCGGCAGCGACGGCGGCGGCGTCCGCCAATCACTCACCATAGGAAGCGGCCGCAACAGCAGCGGCATCAGTAGTCATGAACGCCCACAAGGAGGCGGCGAAGCAGCGCAAACGTAAATCACTCAAGATGGCACTGGAGAAGTGCATGCAGCGACGGGATGCATTGGTGGCGGAGACCACAACGGGCGGGGTAGGAGGAGCAGGGGCAGAACAGGGAGCGGATGAGGGAGCGGATGGAGCGGAGGAGGGAGGAGGAGCTGGCTCAGCGGGCACTGAGCCTATGACCTACGAGCAGCAGCAGCAGCGGATGCACCAGGAGCTGACGCTGCAGATCAGGGCGGCCATGGCCGCGGAGCAGGCGGCCGAGGCCATGGACTCGACGATGAACACCACGGCCAACACCACCACGAATACCACCACCACGACCACGACGACCACCAACACCACTGGGACCACCAGCGATGGATGCAGTGATGCAGAGGCCAGCGATGGCAGTGATCGACCCATGGAGGTGGACGAGGACCAGGCGCCGGAACCGCAGCCCGGATCCGAACTCGTGGTGGTGGAGCCCAAGATCGAGGTGCTATCGGAGTCCGAGGACGACGAGGAGGATCGCCTGCACATGTCCGAACCGGATGCGGAGGCCATGTACGATCATATGCCCCACACGCCCACCAGCCCCCAAGCCACAATACCGCCCAACGACACGCCCACTCTGACCTCCACGCCCAAGGTCAATGTGGAGCAGTAGGAGGAGGAGAAGGAGAAGGAGAGGAGAGAAGCCCCCATTAGATGCCCCCCAAAGAAGCTGCTTAGATTTAGGCTAAGAATCGATGAAGAGAAAGACGAAGAGTGATTTACAAAAATGATTTACGCGCGCAAAGAAGATGAAGTAATGACTACTGTTGCAACTGCTGTTGCCCTCGGAGACCATCTACCAATCTAAAGAAAAGGGAGTCCCTCAACTGGACCCATTGATTACTATATAAAACTAAAACAAAGAATTACTAATACGATAAGATTTAAAACAATACACAACAAAACACCCACACACAACAAACAGACGAGACAGACGAACACACACGAACGGAAGGCAGTATTTGATGCCCAACTTTTTGCAGAATTTAAATTAGAAATTTGTGTTTAAAGCCACACCACCATCACCACTATCAACAATCATACAAAGTTAATGCAGACAAACACTAGGAAAAGCAACAATCCAAATGGCAGTTAAAACAGAGTAAACACAGAAAACAGAACATAATCAAACAGCAAACAGAACATTGAAATAAATGCAATCCGGCTGAAAAATCGTTTTCAGGGTGCTAATCAAACAACAACACTCGCAACAATGCAATGAAAAACAAATTAAAACTATAACTAAACGAAATAGTAAATGCAAAAAGTTTGAACGTTTTTGATTGGTACCGCCTAAAAAGTGTAACAAAAAAAACAAACGTCGAGAATTTGTTTATTCGTGTGTGTTGAAAGGGAGGAGAACGATGATTAGATATTATTGTCGCATATATTTTTGATTTCCTATAGAAACGTCATAGAAACTGCAAGTTGCCTCAAATCAAAGCGAAACGATAATGCTAACAAAAACATAAAAAAAAACAAACTGAATTTAACAAAACGTGAAAAACTAAGAGTAAACACTGCAAAACAAATAGCTGCAACAAACAAACTACAAAGCAACAATAGCAACAACAAAACCGCAACCACAAGTACCTGCAATAATAAAATAGTATAAACAAAAGAAACAAATTACAGAATAGAAGAGAAACGCTGAGTAAAAACCTAGGGACGATGAGGAGCCGGGTGTCCAGAATCCTTGACAAATCCCCCAGTTTGGCCAGTGGGTCCTCACTTCCCCGAACGACTGCCCATTTGTCCGGTTTTTTGTAAATAATTTTATTAAATTAATAATACGAAAAGGCAAATCGGGCCGGGAGTAGGACGAAGTGATGGGCCGCTTTGCCACGGGACCAAGGATTCCAGAAGGACGGACAAAAGATTTGCTTTAAACAAGTAACAATTTTGTTTTCCAATTTTTCGTATTTTTTGTATGATTTATTCCTTCAAGTTTAGGCCTCAAAATTTCATTCAACTGCTTTTCGGCTAACCAAATCTAAAACAAAACAAAATACAAATTCAATTCCGAATTCAGAAGTTTCTAAAGAAGTAAAAAAACAATTGGTAAATTGGGTGCCTATAAGAAATATATAATTAAATGACTACTAGTAAAATTTTATAAACAAAGAAAAAGTATATTTAACGACGAGAGAGAGAAAAGCAAATAGCAAAGAAAACGTAAAGTAAATATAATTATTTTTTAATTGAATAATTCTAGCCAAGTGTGAAACATGTTAATTAACAAGCGAAAATATTAAGCAAAAACCACTCAAAAACGTTCTCAAAAACTTGACGGCAACAACAACAACAACAACAAGCAAATCGCAATAATTACAGCAAGAAAACGAAATTCAAAATCAAACTTTTGGCACACCTTTGGAAAACATTTTTCGTACAAAAGAAAATTCACCAAAAAATCCAACCAACAAAAATTCAAAATTCATTTTTTCGGCACTTATAATTTCGATGGCTACATCAGACCCCAGAATAAGCTGTAAAATACTAAAACAGAAGAGAAAACATTTGTTGTAAGCGAAAGAGAAAACTAGAATGGAAATCTAAGGAAAATGCAATTGAAAATATTGAGAAAATCGACCAAGGCGACCAAAGACCTTGGCTTGTAAATACATTTATTATTACTGCATATATATCCATAGCATATATATGTGTGGCCTCAGTTGTATAATGATAAAGCCTAGATCTAATATATATATATATATACTGTAAACATAAACTACTAAGCGCATATGTAGGAACACATTAGGCTCGCCAACAGAGAGGAAAAAAGAGAAGGGTTTTATTTGATTATAAGCTAACTGAATTTCAATTGTGAAACTGTCTTAATTTGTACGTTTTCCGTTAGCGAGGCAATACAAGGGGTGATCCACAATCCATAGAACCGTAAAATAGCCAAAATGTTGAATATTAAACTACTTTTATTAACTGTTGAATCACAAAACACACAACACACGAAACATTAGACATGAGACATGCAACAGGAAACAGAAAGCCGAGTTAAAATAGGTCTTAACCCATTGAAGATGCAGACTACCAATGTCACCCCGACCCCCAGTTTGTTCTGTGATATCGTTTTGAAGTTGCAAACGAATAAAGCGTTTACTTTCGTTTAGTTCTTTTTCGTTTTATGAATAATTTGTCCTAATCAAGAAACGACAACTCGAATTTTATTTAGCATTCGTGTTGAGCAGGAGAACAAGAAGAACAGAAAGCAGCAGCAAGGCAACCGCAAAAAGCAATAGCAATATTAAACCATTAAAGTCTGGCAATATTAAAACCAAACTACCTCTTCACACCCATGCAGATTAACCCCTGGCTGCCCGAGTCCCCTTTTGGCCCCCGTCCCCATCAACGTTCGCTGGAGTCTGAATTACATTTTATTTTTAAGTACGTTGATGGGGCACCAAATCGCGGACTTGGCCCAGGGACAAAGCCATCAGTCAGTAATTCAATCCGTCAGTCAGTGAATCAATCAAACAATATACTGTTTAGTAATCAGGGGTTATAACGATTAACCGTATTTTTTAATTGATACATTTACGTACCTTTAGTTTATGTTACCTTAGTTCTTAGTTTCGACCTTCGTTTCGAGCTTCGTCTTACAATTATTAGAGTCTAATCAAACTCAGGAACTCATATACCTCAGGAAAGAACCTACCTCTTTGTGTTTTTACACTTGTTTGAACTATTTTTATTATTATTATTATTACGATTATAATTTTTGGTTTGCATGGGACAAACAAACAAAAAGGACGAGAGAAGGAACACACAAAACACATTTTGTTGTAATCGAAGAGATGCTATCAAGGAAAGCTTTAGTTCTTAGTTCGATTATCGGTTAGTTAGTGGCTAGCAAATATGTTTAGTGAGGACTTACGTTAAATGCAAAAGACACAATCACACATGAACACACAATAGCAATAATGAATGGGAAACCAAGACCAGATCGAACTGCAATAGTAAACTGAACTACCTCAATTAGCCATAGACTGCGCAGTAACGAGATGAGCATGATGATATAACATACATATTTTCCACTTACCCAATTCATTTTCTTCTTTTTGTAAAATGGTGACACACACACAGAAGCACTCATACCCAGCTTTTGCAATTTGAGCCAGGATGATTCGGTTGAAAACCCCTTACAGATTTTCTTTATAGACGTTTTCATGTAAATATGCGCTGACACCAGAGCCCACGAAATTCAGATAAAAAACAAAAACATTTAATGTAAAACTACAAGAATATACTTTTGGCTAAACTCTAATTATACGAAAATACCCAAAACTTTTACTATGTATGTGTAGAGAGCAGATGTAGGCGATATATGACCAGGATTAAGATCATTTGTATACATCAATTTCGGCAAAGCAACTAAATGAGGCAAACCAAACGAAAAAAAAAAAACACGAGAAAACAAACGTAACTCTTTATAATCTAACTATAAACAAAATACAAAGAAATTATTTAAGGCTACAAAATTTACTCCAAAAAGGAATGAAAAATCCACAAAAAAATTAAAGAAACCATCCCAGTTAATGGTATACTTTTGCTTGAGCCAAGTCCAATGGCCAAATACAAGTTATGAGCAAAGAAAAAATTTAAATTAAATTAAATTCAAAGCAAACCCAAAACGGTTATAAAATTAAAAAAAAAATGAGATGGAAAACATTTTGCTAAACGAAGAGGAAAATTTTCTAAAAGAAACTTGCGTAAATAAGCAAAACTTTACAAAACAAACATTTTAGGCTTAAACTTTTGGCTAAAGAAAAAATTAAAATTATAACAAATATTAGGCACGAGCACAACTCTATGCAAGTGCATCAAGTATACATAAATATTTATTTAAAAAAAGAAAACGCAAAATACTTTTATCTGTAACCAGATTTTAGGCCCAACTTTTCGACAAGCGGCGTAAAATAATTTCTTTGTAAAATATGTTTGCAAACAAAACAAATCGAAAGAAAAATCCCAGAGAGCGTAATTAACTTAATCTAAACGTAAAAAACACAAATGTCGCCATTTTGCATTTAGAGCGTACAGTACAGTAAAGCACACAAAACGTCGACTAAAGAAAAGTCACGAAATCAAACAATTAATGTACATAAAATAAATTAAACAAAAAGAATTGTGTATTGTATATTCGTAATTTTTCAGTAATTTTTAGTTACCTTTACCCTTGAGTTGTATAAATTAATTATTAAGAGAAATCCATAAAACAAAATTGAAGCTGTAACAAGAATACAAATATAATAACTATAACGATATAAATAATAGTGTGCACAGGTACAAAACAAAATTTAAGTTCAATTTAATGTGAAATTTAGTGCACTGAACATTTTGTAAGAGCTCGATGTAATTTTTGTTATATATTTTTGTTAGTAATTGTTTTTCTATTAATATTTAGCGTGAAATGTCAAGAAGCAAAATAACACGAAAATCCCCCTCAACAAGCCAATTGTACTTACGACTACTTTTCACTTTTGATATAATTTTGCGACAATAGAACCAATATTCCCCTCTTTCCCCCAACCATTATGCTTACTTTACCTAAGTTATTTCAAATAACTATAAAATAAAAAAGGAGACAAGCACAAACCCCAGTTTAAGTTTAAGAGGCAGAAGAATGTAATATATATTTTTGTATAATTTGTAACAGTTTTCGTCATGTTCTGTTCGACCGCAACAAATTGGCTTGTTTACACATTTTTTCTAATTTGTAACAATTATATGATAAAATCTAAATTTATAATATATACACACGTAAATGCTAAAAACAAAATGCAACTAAATAAATGTTAAACCCCAGAAAAAAAAACAAAACAACTCATAATTGGCAATTTTTATTGGTTAACCAAATTAATTAAACACCACACAAAATTCTTATCCCTACAGTACTGACAACGTTTTGGACTCGATTGATTTTGCCCCCGATTTTAACCCACAGCCCCCAAAAAATATAAATGTAACGAAAATATGTATACTAAAGTTTACGACTATCGAAAGTAATTTGAAATGAAAAATAATGTGTTTAGGCCTAAGCAACTTTACAGTTCAGTTCAATGCGAAATTTGAAGATGAAAATGCTTAATGAAATTAGTTGTACGACCATATAACTATATATCCCCCCTATATAGTGCATTCCCCCACGCCTCCCCCCCTCTCAATGTGTAAATCAAGTTGTTGTAAGTTTGTCTATCACGATAAATCGAAGCAAGTACAAATTATATTTAATGTATGTGTGTATTTTAATTGTTTTTTATTTCGTATTCCCTCAGTTTTGTTTTCAAATTAGAGTTCGGTTTTAATTGTGTATAAAGTCACACTTGAAAACATACAAAAACTTTTGGAACAATGACGAGTACAAAATTTCAGGTAAAACAAACAAAATTTAGCAGATAAATTAAAATTAATTAAATATATATAGCGACGAGGTAACGATGAAGAATAAAATCGTACAAATTTTTCGGCATAAAGTATAAAGTTTAAATTTTAAGGACACCTGTCGGTTGGAAAAAAGAGACAGTTGGTGTGACTTTTAGGATTGATTGAAATTCAGTTTCCACACGGTTCATCCTCCTTATTTTACCTACATTTTGGGTTTTTCATTTTGAATCTGAATGCAACAGAACTTGAATTACACATGACAAATTACCAAGAAAAACCATTCGATTTACCTTGTTCTGAACTGAAGAGTTTTCGAATTACCCAAACGAAGTTTTAACCATTTAAATTCAATAAAGACAACGGTCCACTTGAGAAAAAAACTCGATATGCATGCCAAATGTGTATTGAAATGTACTTTACGTGAATATGTATATGTAAATGTAAAAGGTTAAACAAAAAATAGTTTTAAAAAAACGCAAATCCGTTTGGAGCAAACTCAGGGCATTATCAAGACTCACGACGATGTATACATGCATTTAATACAAACAAAAAAAACGTTTTTTCGATATGTATTACGATTAAAATAATAATAAATGCAACCGAAAGCGGATGTAATAATCATGCGAAACGATTATGAACAACTCAGGTATTAAATATTAAATGAAATATTTTTAAAAACTTATTACTAAATGAGAACGGCAGTCAAGTCAACATTTTCACAAGTTGTGCAATATTCTTAAAGTTTTCTAAATACGTAATAGTATTAATAATCTAATAATGCGATCATGGAAAGCGAAAGCGCAGGATCAGAGAGTTGAGATGTTCATAAGCATGGATCCGAATGAAATGGGATTTGGATGGAGATTGAGATTGAGGATTGAGATTTAGATCGAAATAGGAGATGATTGAGAGGTTAGGTGAGTTTTTGAAGCACATGAGGACTAAGCATGTACTTACCACTCTTTTAATATTTTATTTTTACCACCCACACAAAATCAAGAACAACTACAACAAACAAACATACAGACACACTTACAAAAACACACAAAAAAAAAATAGTGAAATAAATAGCTAAATGAAAATGAGTTTATATAAAGAAGGAAAACATAAAACTGTGATTACATTTGATTGTCGAAGCGTTGATAAGCGAATGTTGCATAATTATTGAGCGAAAAAAAACGAGAAATACGATTGAAAAAGGAGTTATTTATTATTATTATCTAAAACCGCTTTTGATTTCGAATATTGGCACAATGTCTATGAATGCGACAGAGCATAAGTAAATAAATATTAAATTAGCCGAAATATTAAACTTCAAAAGAACAATTAAGAAATACAAATTATAATTATCTAAGTTATTCGAGATTAGTAAAACCTGCCCTTATTTAACAAACACCTGTAACAGTTTACCCAGGCGAAATAAAAACTTAAGCTGCGACAAACAAGAAACCTTCGATTTAGTTCACATTTCTCTGAACGATTTCTGTATGTAGTGCACCTTAGTTAAAAATTAAAGTCTGAGATTTTACATTTATGTATATGGTCGAAGTATACACCTTAAAAGCGTATTTAAAGCGGAAATCTAAAACCAAAAGCGATTAATTAAGTTTATTGAACTACTTACTAACGAAGCAAAAACCCACACGCATATTTGGCTAAAGCTGATGTAAAAAATCAAGAAATCTAAGGATCGAGGCAGAAGAAACGAATAAACCACATTTTCTAAGCAGGCATATGATTTCTAAATATGTATGTGTGTATATCTGAAGGATACGCAAGCGAAGCAGATTGAATATATTTTAAACATGAACACTCGGATAAAAAATTTACGATTATGCCATACATTTTTGTGTAACATATTAAAAAACTACGAGTAAGCTAAAACCAACAGTCACAGAAAACGAAAACCAAACGCATTGTAACAGAAACTCACAAAACACGGAATGAAAGTGGGCAACCAGAATGGAATTAAGCATAAAAAGTATATGAACGAAACTAAATTCAATAAACTTGTTGCTAAAATATAATAAAAACAAAGACTTCGCATGGTTTCATTTCAGCGGAAATGGGTATTTTGATTTTTGTGTTTAATAAAAATTAAATCAGCTTTTATTTTGGTTTTTTGATCAAAACCCTGGGAATTAATGCTCAAATGTTGGAATGTCATAGCTCGTTGAATTAATTATAAAATTTCCAATCGTATGGCATTCCTAGCTAAAAAATTTATTTTCAGTCGACTTTTGGCAAATATTCATGATGTAACCCCTTATAAAGAATGCCAAAATCCCGAGATCCGGAAAAACCGACTTTTATTTCGGTTTTTTGATCAAAACCATGGGAAATAATAGTCTCACGTTGGAATGCCATACCTCGTTGAATTCGTTATAAAATTTCCAATCGAATGGCATTCACAGATAAAAAATTTAATTTTAGTCGATTTTTAGCAAATATTCATGATGTAACCCCTTATGAAAAATGGCAAAATCCGAAAGATCCGGAAAAATCAACTTTTATTTCGGGTTTTTGATCAAAACTCTTGGAAATAGTGGTCAGATCTTGGAATGTCATACCTCGTTGAATTCGTTACAAAATTTCCAATCCAATGGTATTTTCAGCTAAAAAATTTAATTTTGGTCCAGTTTTGGCAAAAAATCATAGTGTTACCCCTTATAAAAAATACGAAAATCGGTCAAAAAAATATTTTTTCAAATTATCCAGGAATCGATTATTTAGATCCTTAGCTTCACAAAACAGTCATTCTTTTGGCTGTGCGTCGTATTTTGGGCAAGTTATAACAAAAAAGGGCTTTTTTATGGCCAAAATCCGGAATAAATCCACTCAAGTTTTGGGGAACAGTAGTCAAATGTTGGAATGTCATATCTCCGTGGATTCGATTGCCAAAATGCCAAAATCCGGTGATCCGGAAAAAACTTTTATTTCTGTTTTTTGACCAAAACCCTGAGAAACAATTGTCAGATGTTGGAATGCCATACCTCATTGAATTCGTTATAAAATTTCTAATGGGGTGACATTCACAGCCAAATTCAAATCAGTCGATTTTTGGCAATAAAATTTATTTTTACATTTTAACCAGTTTAAAAACAAACATTTAAATTTCCGTTGATTCAAAGAGAAGAGACTTCCGATGTCGGTTTGAGTCTCGGATGTGGGAATGATTTCTGGTATTTTAAATAATAATTACTAATTTTTTGTGGGTATATTCGCGTAGATGGTCACACCCGACCACCACAGCAAAAATATAAAAGAAACCAATCCTAATAATAAAGAAAAAAGTCAATTTAGTGCAATTACTTGCAATAAAAACGTCTAATCCTAGCTAGAGTTAAGATCGGCTTGTCCCAACGAACTAAGTCAGAGCTAAGAGAAGTTTAAAGTCTATCGAAACAAAGGGAAAGCAAAAAGTATCAAAATGGTGAGTAATACTATAGTAAATGGTAACAAAAAAAAACGGGCCAACAAACGGTGGATTTTAGTAGGTGCCGCCCTTTGTAAAAGAAAAATTGGTTTTATGCTGAAAATATCAAAAGGAAAACATTTATTTAGGGCGGCGGCCTGTGACCTGAAGTAATGCCCATATATGGTAATCCCCTTTGCCGGTTGGCAGTCTGAAATCCAAGGCTTTTGGGGGCTCTCTTATCGCCGCAGTGACTCAATTTGAAAACCTATGTATCTCTTTCAGTCGGAAATGCAAATGGATTGTGCTCTGGATCTAATGCGACGACTGCCGCCCCAGCAAATCGAGAAGAACCTCATCGATCTGATTGATTTGGCTCCCGATCTCTGCGAGGATTTGCTCTCCTCCGTGGATCAGCCGTTGAAGATAGCCAAGGACAAGGAGCACGGCAAGGACTACCTGTTGTGTGACTATAACCGAGATGGGGACTCCTACCGGTCCCCCTGGTCGAATTCCTACTATCCCCCGTTGGAGGATGGCCAAATGCCCTCGGAGCGACTGCGAAAGCTGGAAATCGAGGCAAACTATGCCTTCGATCAGTACAGGGAGATGTACTACGAGGGCGGAGTCTCCTCTGTGTATTTATGGGATCTGGACCATGGATTCGCCGCTGTTATACTCATCAAAAAGGCCGGCGATGGCAGCAAGATGATCCGTGGATGCTGGGACTCCATACACGTAGTGGAAGTACAGGAGAAGACCACTGGCCGGACGGCCCACTACAAGCTCACCTCCACGGCGATGTTGTGGCTGCAGACCAACAAACAGGGTTCGGGAACCATGAACCTGGGTGGATCCCTCACCCGCCAACAGGAACAGGATGCCAACGTCAGTGAGTCCTCGCCACACATCGCCAACATTGGCAAAATGGTCGAGGAGATGGAGAACAAGATCAGGAACACGCTCAACGAGATCTACTTCGGCAAGACCAAGGACATTGTGAATGGGCTGAGGAGCACACAATCGCTAGCCGACCAGCGCCAGCAGGCGGCCATGAAACAGGACCTCGCAGCAGCCATCCTGCGGCGCAATGTCAAGCCCGAATCGAACTAAGCACTGAGCGGCTAAAGGCTGAATTTCCACATAAATCAACCATGCAGAACTAGGCTACGAGGTCCTTTAATACACGACTGTTTCCTGAAGAGAGTAAAATAATATGCGAATTGTAAGGCACTGCTGCCCTCGAAATATTATCTAAATGAATGCCACCATTATCATTTCCATAATATTTAGGCTTCATCTACCCAATTCCCTACTATTCACACTCTTTCATACAGTAGGTGGGACTTCGCTTAGCCTGGACCGAATTAAGCAGACTAAAAATATTATATACGCATTTCTAGGCAGTAAATTTGTTACATGAGAAAATTGTTACACCACGAGAAACATATTAATGTAAATTTGCCCGCCCGTTTTCAACTGTCCTCCCACATTGTTGCTAATTTAGAGTCGCGCTTCATCCAGTAGTTCAGCCGAAAATGCCAACTTCGCCGCCCTCAAGACAGTATCCATAAGTATTTGTATCTTATTTGTAATATTGCATATTTGCACTGAAGTCGAGGCATTTGAGTTTCGCATTCATTTGCAGCCCGTTCTTAATTCTAACGCGAATAAATATTGTGTTTCTTAATTGTGACTTTGTGTATGTGTGTGCTCTAACCATTAAGGAGCTCGAAGCAAATATAAACTGAAATCGCTTTGTGATTGTATTATCTGAGGAAATGCACATTACCTTCTCTTCTTTACTTAATATTTTTTTAACCAAAATTTGGAAGGCAAAGAGAAATTTTATACAAAGAGAAAACTAATAAATATTGAATTATTACTTTTGGCGTTTCAATTTGGGGGGAATACACAAATGTATATTCTTCAAATATTACATTTAGGGGAATTTCCATTCCTTCAATTGCTTTTATCTAATTTACCGGGACAAACTTGTGTTATCGGTCTTGACAAAGAAAATAGGTTCTTGTCACAAGAAATACGAAAATGGTATGAAGAGAGATAAGGAGTAAAAGAAAACATTATTTTTTTGGTTCATGGCTACCTTTAAGATACGATTGCATTTATTTATGAAAATCTTAAACCGTTTGATTAAAAATATATTTAAATACGTTGAGGTGTGTGTGACGCAAGTGATCGTGTGCTTACTTAGACATCTACTCTTTAATCTTTTCAATTATCAGCAAAAAGTTCAAGTTAAAGTTTATCCCGACATTGCAAAGTCGCATTTTATCATAGTTATTACATAATACTCATACATTTATATAGATAGTTTAGTTTGTTTTGTTTTACCAACTATATACAATGAGGCGACAACAACTTACTCGCTTATACACATTAGCAAGTGTACTTAAGGGATCAACAGTAGAATCGAAATCGAAGTTTATAAATTAAGATTGGGGTTCGTCGCGTAGTTATCTACAACTTAGGCTAGGTATTATGAATAAGTTAGATTTATTTAGAGGGGAGGACGTGCGCGTAGAAGGAACTACAATTACATACAATATTTTACACGGGTTCAGAAGGCGTGACCGGACAAAGTGTCTCGAAATTGGAAGATCAGTGTCAGCGCAGCACGGCAATTTTGTCCAGCAGTAAAGGTTCCCCTCTACGATGGCGAATATAAATAAAAAATACATAGCACATGGGGAGCTTTGCTGCTGGCGGGTGACACGGATGTGTGAATGTGCAAAAATATGCGTAGAAAGTCTCTTCGGTCCAGCGAAAGTCACAGCTTATTGCATTTTCGAAACCTCGAACTTGGTGTTGATGATCTCCTCATCTGAGTCGAGGATAGGTAGAGCCGAGTCCGCCATTGAGGAGGGTATGTTCTCCTCCACCCAGCGCAGGTCGTCCTCCTCGGTTGTCGTGGCGTTTCGCGAGTTGGTTGACGTCCTCGGCGTTCCATTTTGTCCGCGCATTTTCACGCCATAGGCATCAGCCACAAACTGATCCTCTTCGTCTGTCAAAAAACAAAGAATGATTTAATTAGTCACGGTTTACAAGAAATTTCCAAACTCTAACTTACCCTCGTCGTCTTCGTCTTCTGGATTATCCAGCAGGGGTGTGAATGCATACCGCTGGTTGTTATTCGTGGGTCGCCATAGTATCATAATCACCAACAGCAGCACCGAAAACAGAATGTGCCAAAAGCCAGTGTCCACCCAGATGTCACGCCAGCCCTAAACGAAGCGTGAAAATCCATTTTAAATCAGTAAAACCCAGTTAACCATTTATGCTAATCAACTCACAGGCGTACAGTTCTCAGTGCTACGCAAACGCAACGCAAAGAGCATGAAGATGACGGAAGCGATAACAGCAAAGATCAGCGTGTTGGTAAAGTGCCTATACAGCGATAGCTTAACCATATTCCTGGAACATATATATATATATTATATTTGTTTTGAGTGTCAAATCTTTCACTTAGTCACCTCCTTAGTCTGAGTGTGCGAGTGGTTTGCACAAGAGATGTGAAGATCCACCAGCATATTCCCGTATCCAGAACAGCCAGGGGAATGCTGGCCACCAGCAGTTCACTGCGGTCGGTCTTCACATTGGTGATACGCAAATAGCTTTCCACGCAGGCCAGCACAAAGTAGAGGGTTCCAATGCCCACAACCCGATGCAGCATGGGTCCCAAACGGGGTCTAAAAAGATGGAGTAGAGTAAGAAATATTATCGAATATTATCATGGAAAACCTAAAGTCTCCCTGTTTTACTAAGGTTATCTAAGTGGGCGCTAATACTGTAATTGGATTTTCCAACTAACGATAAATAAATTAAAACTGATTTAATCGTCCACTATCTGCAACTGCTTCTGAATTAATTAATTAGAAACGGGTTTTGCTGTTCCGCAACAGATGAATCTGTTATTTGTATCACTCACTTGACAATTCCAAAGCCCAGACTCATAATGATGACCAGCATCCTGGCCAGAGTGCGCTTCGCGCAGGACACAAACTCGGCGACCAGCTCGGCATGCTGCACTGCTACTCCCTTGTTCGTCAGCGTTTGGTACTCGGCGTAGAAGAAGGCCTTCTCGAGCATTCCGAGCAGAATGACGCCACCAATCCAGAACTGAATTCTCAGTAAATCCCGCCATTGCGCGAAAGAAACAAAGAGCCAAATAATTCCAAATATCACGTAAACAATGCACATGATTAAATAGAACTGAAGGGGCAATTAAACGTTTAGTATAAATAGTGAACATATTAAACTACCCATCACTTACCGGCAGGAATGGCCAATCTATAGCCGAGATATAACCGTGCGGTCCCAGGAACTGGAGGTGCACCACCGCACTGAACTGCGCGGTCGGCGGCACTGCAATGAGCACTTCGATCTCGTAGATGCCATCCTTCTTAACGCTTGCAATCGGGTTTGTTGTGGGCTGAAGGAAAATGAAAAGTGGGTTAATAACAGCGTGGTGTTTTATCTGCATTTTGGCTTCCCTTAATAAAGTAAACCTATTTTAAAAAGCCTAAGTGGACCTGGTGATACCCATTGATACTTTAGGGGATATAAAAAAATGTTTCTTTTAAAGTAACCCTTTGTAATAACGTATTAAGATAATAGGCTTGTAGCTGCTACAAAATGATATGTGAGATTTATATCAATTTGTCTTTCTGTTGAATTTTTTCTTCAGTGCAGAAATTTCACCGGGAGTCTATTTACTATGGTAAGTGAAAGGTTTCAAGCAGGCTCAAGATACCATATGCCCTACATCGCTTTAAAGTACCCTGTTTTTGGAGAAACGATAAGCTGGTACTGATAAGAAGGAAACCACAAATGTTTTAGCTTGTCGATTGCTAATTGCTGTCTACAGCAGGTTTCGCTGATTCACATCGCATTTACCGAAAGTGGATGTTTGTTCTCCAACATGGGATGTTTGGGTTCCGGCGTTCCAGGTGCTTCCCCTCCTCCGGCAGGTTTTCCCTTGTCCATCGCCAGGACAATGAGCCCATTGCAGGGATACGTCTTGGTGACCTCGAACTTGGTGTTGTTGCTCTGCAGGGCACTGTCTTTGGCGATCACCTGGAGCTGGATGAGGTGGTTATAAATAGACATTTGGAGGGATAGAAACACAGTACTCACCATGCGGTCGTCGAAGATGCAGGGGTGCTCCGTCAGCCGGAAGGTAACGGTCAGATTGGTTTCCACTTGCGACTTGCAGCCCTTGACTGGAACCATTCAGAACGGGTGTGGAAAGGGGTTAATAAAAATCAAAAGCATTCGTCACGCGTTCTCCGTCGCAAATACTCACTTTGAGCGTAGATTTTCGTGTCGGCCAAAAGTGGACGCTGCTCCCGGATGCTGGGCATGTCCTGGAAGGATAAGGCAAAGGGATTGCACCACAGTGGTATTTATTTGCTACACTACATATGTGCAATGTTCTTACCGTGGTCACCAGGATTTCCACAATGCCCGGATCCGATTTTCCGGCTGTCTTATCGGGGCCAAAAAGTAGCGCCAACGCAACTACCAATATCGTTGCCGTTCCCTGCATTGTGCCGATCCCGAAATGAGCGACTACTACGTGTTTTGTGTGCGTACAATGGGACTAAGTAAATACAACAATATTTCTCTTCAATTCGGCTGGCTGTGTGGCCGAGTGTGACCGTACCTAGATTGAGATTAAAACCGCGGACCGCCCTTCAGTGTGGCTGCACGACATCAGCTGGTGATATAACCTGACTTTGACTGCCAATTGGAAACACCAAAAATGTTACGCAGGGTAAATAAACATACAATTTTATTAAATTATTAAATAAAATTATATTATTTTGTGATTTCAGCTGATTCCAAGTGTGCGTTTAACGCTGCAAGTGCCGAAAGCAACAACAACGGCAGTGAGGAGCAACAGCGGCAATGTTTATGAGCCGGATTATCTGGAGGTGAGTTCCTCATTCATATATCTTTTTACATTTGTTTTAGTTCTGTTGCAGGCTGTTTTATATATTCCAAAAATAAGGAAATCAATTCGAATCTATAAACATTGTTTGTAAAGAACTAGGCCTCTGTTCTTCGTTAGCAAGTGATTTCACTATGACATCTCGCTTGTCTCCCATTTGATGTTTTTATTTCTCTGCAATCTTGATAATAACCAAATTAAGTTTGGAAGATAGTCCTTTACAATCCAAATACTTAAACGGATCTGCTTGATTTTCAGAATCTCCAGATGATATGACAGTAACTCTAAATACACAACCCATAAATCCTATTATTACCTCATTAAAACCATCCTTTTCCCAATTACAGTCCCTCAAACCGAAATTCCCGCAGTACGATAGCCTGAATGTCCAAATCAAGGGCTACGACTATCCGCAGTTGGAAAGCTACCAGAGGTTCCTGCATGGAGTGGCCGAGTACCTGGACCTGGACGTCTCCGAATGCTATGCCCTGCCGCCTCAGCAGACGCAGGTGCAGCGGCTGAGACCCAACTCCACGGTCATCGAGTCCGAGTACAAGCTGACCACCTACGAGCGCAACCTGCAGCTAAACAACGTGGATGCACCGGTTTATCCGCAGTTCCTGCGCCTCGCCCAGGCAGCCCTGCCCGAAGGAGTCAGCCTGAGGGTCCAGGAGCACACCGACGACTGCGAGGAGCGACGCTATGTGCCGGATAAGGAGCTGCTCGACCTCAAGGACGAACTAGAACGCATGGGCGGGCCCACCACCTCCAGGAAGAAGTAGGTGGCGTCATTCCGATTTGGCAAACATTTATTTTAATAAGTAACCTGTGTAAAGTGTAGAGAGAACCTATGAATAAAAACTTTCCTATTTAAAGCTTTGCACTAACTGGGACGGCAATGGTTACAAACTAGTGGAAGACGCTCTTAAGCAAGAAATGGTGTTAGACTGGGAATTGCTCTATGGAGTACTATACCACACCGAAGTGGACCACTTTGATGGAGGACGAGGAGGAGGAGTTGGCGCTCTTGCTGCTGCTCTGCTTGGGTTCCTCTTCGCGCCGTCGGATTGGTGGCTTGTTCACATCTTGGATGAGTAAATTTTATTAAGGGTACAGCATATATTCCAACAATCAACTTACTTGTGGTGATGGGATTAAAATCCTTTAGATACTCATCGTTGGGATGACAAAGCGGCAAACTGTCGGCCAGTTCCTTTTTAGGATTGGTCAAATGCCGTGGAGCAGGCCTGGAATAACCATTTCTCTTCGGCGGCATGGGCTTCTCCTTGCGAGGAATCTCCTGTGGGGGTAATAAGCACTTTAAAACATATAACTTTATTATTTAAAGGTCGTCTTACCGGCACCACAGCAACTTGTATTGTATCGGAGAATTTGACTTTGTTCTTTTCGGCCGTTTGTGACTTGGCAGTTGGCGTGACTGCCTCTCCATTCGTGGGAGCAGGATTTGCCGGGTTGGACAATATGGATGCCGTGGGTTTCTTAAGCAGAAGGCGCTTCTGGTAGTCCTCACTGGTCACTGAGGTCAGCATGGCGGGTATATTGCCAGAGACAAGCGGGTGCTGGTAAAACTTGGGCTGATAGGCTGCTGCCGGTGGAGGCGATGTTGGCATTACATTGAGTTGACCAAGTTGGGTGCTTTGATCCGGGTTGTTTGGAGGCTGGAGACGAGGAATCGGACTGCCGGCCATCGGCAGACCCACTGTCTGATCGGGGACATCCTGGGACCACACATTACCTGTAATCATTAACGTTTTTGGAGGTTTTATAAATGTTTTATCGAACATTTACTTACCATTTGAGTTTATACTTTTCACAGATGCCTGATGCTGACTATTGCTCTTCAAGGAGAGACTAGCCAGCGATGTAATTGGTGGTGCTATCGAAACTTTCGGCAACGGCGGCCTCAACTCCGGTTTGGGAATGTTGATCTTGATCATCTCAGCATTGAAGACCTTCGACTTGAACGAGGGCAGCGGTGGCACATAGTTCTTTAGGACCTGCTGAATCTGCGGCTGCACTGGCTTTAAACCTGTGGCTGGTCCTGATGCCGCTCCCTGACCTCGCAATAAATCCGAGCAGGTGGACAGCGAACAGGCCGACTCCGATCGCAGGTCGCAAGTCAGGCTGAGATTGCCATTGGCACGATCTTCTTCATGAATTATGGCAGCTGCCTGACTGAACGCCACCTGGGCGAATTCACCCAGGCTAGAGATGCACTTCGTTAGATTGTACAGGTCCATGAAGATATCATAATCGGCCACATCCTGGGCAATTTCAAGGGCCTCTGCGAATAGGTTTTTGCTGAGGATATCCAAACAAATTAGTACCAATCTTAAGATATGTGGTCAAGCTAAACTCACCGCAGCAGAAAGAAGCAAAAGCGACGTTTCAGGTCGTACACCTGGTCGCTAAACTCATCCTTCGTTTCCTCAGAAAGCGTGTGGGCGAAAGTCTTCAGGGCTCGGGCCATCAGTTCGATGCGAGGCCTTCGCTGATCCCCGCCAAAGAACACGTAGTTGGCTATCTTGTGCAGCGTGATCAGACACATGGCTCCGTATGTCTCCCAGTTGAGGGCGGCCAGGACATTCACCGCCCTATCTGGCTGCTGCAGCCGCAGATACTTGTCCGCAATCACGTCCGCAGTGAGGCCGGAGTTGTGGATATCCCCGCGCATGCCAGTGCCGCCAAAGATGCGCATGCAGGCGAGCGGTCCCTGCTCGTAGATCAGCAACAGCAGGCAGTCAGTCTGGGCGTAGGTGTGCTTAAAAGTGGCCAGATCAGGCTTCCGGCTGAAGGCGACGCTCAGCAGCGTTGGCTGGGCCACAAAGTAGTGCGACAAGTCCAAGAGACTCGACGGAGTCACTGTCTCGCTGACCAGCTGATGGCCAATGGTCGCCAGGGCCAGATCAAAGCACTGCAGCACAGATCGTTCGTTGGCCACGCACAGCATGGCGGAGTCGCAGTGCCAGGCACACTGGTTGGGCACGATCTCGATTTGGTTGGCGTACTTCGTCGACTGCTGGACCAGGTCGTGCAGGCAGATGTTGCGATCGATGCTGCCCAGGAAGAGCTTCTCCTGGTCGGGACTGAAGGCGAAGGAGCAGATCTGGGCGCCCATTGGGATCGAGGTAATGGCGGTGCGCTGCATTTTGCCGGCAGCCAGCTCGTAGGAGCAGATCTCGGCGCTTATGTCGCCCTTGCGGGAAACCTTCTGCTCCAGGGTGATGATCTGGCTCTCGCTGCTTCGCAGGAAGTCCACGCACAACGGGTCGTTCTCCGACCAGCAATAGGCAATTGATTCCAGCTGCAAACTAAAGAAGCCGATTAGAGAGAGCTTTTGATAAAGGAATTGAGATACTTACCCCTTAATTTTGAACACATGTATGTTGGCTCGATCCTGATCCCTGATCGTTGGCCTCCAGGGATACACCTCGTTCTGCGAGGACTGCGTCCAGACCACAAACAGATCGAAGCTGCTGTTGACAGTGAGGTGGCGGGATAGCTTGCGCTCCGTGGCGCCCGGAATGATCACGTGGAAGATCCGCGGATCCATGTTGGCGATCTTCTCCGGCCCCTGCGATCGCGCATTCGGCCGCTGCAGATGCACCACCGTCAGCTGGTTGGTATTGTAGGCCAAGACGATGTGGGAACGGGTGAAAAAAGCTGACGAGCACAAGACCACAGCGGACAAAAAAGACACAAGCGACAAAGCTGAATGAGTGCCTCGAACAAAACATGGAAAGCTGGCGGTTGGGGGATTGGGGAATCAAGGGGCCCGGCGCAGAGCGGGGTTCGCATATTTACAGGCAACAAAACAAGCAAGCAGATTAATTAAAAATTACAATAATTGCATGCCCCTGCATGTGTGCGTGCGGCTGTGTTGGTGTGGGAAAGTGCAAATCAAGTCGCACTTGTTGCCAATGCAAATTTCTCCATAACTGCACAAGCAGCGAGCAGCGGTCTGAAGTGCAAGGCCAAGATACTATATAAAAGTAGCTATACCCTGAAGTACACATTTGGGCTGCTTAGTTTGATAGACTCGCAAGCAAGTCTTTGAAATTGGGGACTTTTACATAATCCAATAGTTCTTGTAGATACTTCTAAATTAATCTCGGAAATAAATTGAAGAAACATTTTCATTTAAAAAAGGGTTTTGTAAATTGTTGTAAAGAAGGTTACGAATTTAAATGAACAAGTTGGTTATTTAATGCATTTTTAAATACTTATTTTTCGATTATTTCTTAATCCTTAGTATTGCAACGAGTAAAAATCATTAAAAATTGCATTTAATAAAAAGTTTTCAAGAAAACCATACAGTTTCTTAGTGATTTACTCACTCAAGTTACTTTTAATGATGGTTAAGAGAACACCCATAATTTATGCGTAGAGTAGACATTAAATGTAGCGTGTTAACTGGGTTTTGCAATAAAAGGGGTTCATATTTAAATGAATTCAAACGATTTTTGAGTCTTTTTTGCAAATGAGCTGGTGAGATTTACAGCCAGAAATGAAGATTAATGGAACCCCCTTAAGTCATGGATAGGGTAGATATGAAAATGCGCGAGATATTTGTGGTTTTCAAAAGGGAAAATAATGCACATGTGATATACCCCACATGCATGATGTGCTCACCATCTGTGATGACCTCCGAGGCGAGTTTGCCCACCAGATACTTCTCGAAGACCATCCGCAGGATGTCCCCCGTGTATATATCCACGCAGATGTGGGCTATTAGTCCATGGGCGAACAGCAGAAGGACCTGCGCTGCATCCTGCCACTCGGAGTGGATGATCCTGTGCTGCCGCAGCAGATCCTCCAGTTTCTTGAGGTTGTCCTTCAACCGTCCGGCCGCCTTCCTGCTGCTGTTCTTCAGAACCGCCAATCCATTGCGACGCTCGGTGTAGTCCCTTTTGGCCAGAAAAGTGAGGTCCTGCTGCTCCCGATCCTTGTCCCGCTGGCGAAGATAGCGAAAGGCCCCCAGATCCTGGCTCTTGATGCGCACCTCCTCCCGCAGCGTCGTCCAAAAGTGGGTCTCGCTGAGCAGCATGTTTCCGGACCTATTCGATCAGCTCAACTCGATCGCTTCGATTTGCATGGCCGCGGAATGGGTGTCAACTTAATTCTCGATCTCGATCTCGATTTGTTGGCGTGTGCCTCTTTCAGCTGCTCCAGTTGCAATTCCTTAGATCCGGGTTAATTACGCTGTTCTTTAGATGCTCACTGTCGCGCAATCAAAGGGGCACATAATACATGCCACAAAACATCACTATATCCTCGCTTTTAGCCTTTAAACGAACTTTGTTTATGAAAATAAAATAAACTTGTTGCTCGAAACGTTAGAGCTGGGCTAACCACTGACGATAGTATCGATGTGTCGAAACGTAAGCGACTTGCTTACGCTGCTACGAATGGGGCATAATTACGTTTGAGGATGGGTTACGTTGCTGGAGATGGGGAATAGGTTCGATTTTTAGAGTGGTGGAAACCTTCACTCGAGGTCGTAATGCAAGAAACTGCTTGCATCTTAGCTTTGACTCACACCATAAACATGCTCGATTTCTCAAAAATTATCTTTGCAAATTATTTAAATATTTTATTAGTAGGCTGAAAAAATAAATGGTATTTCGATTGATAAGGGGTTTAATAATACCTATTAGCAAGTCTGTGCACTTAGTTCCTGATAGACTTAATATTAGTGGTAAAATAAATAGTCATCAACAATAGTATATATATATAAAAAGTATTACTATACTATATAAATAGTAACTAACTAAAAACCAACACCACGAAATTCTGTAAAACTCCCCAGAGTATTAAGAGCAATTTGTATCGACCATATATTATATATTATATATTACTTAATGGAGGCAGTTAAAGGCGATTATTTATACAAAAATATATTTATAGTCGGTTAAAAAACTACCTTTTCCAACTGTCTATGTCAGTCAAATCTCATTTCTGATAAATTCTGGGCTGGGGGAGGACTTTGGATGTTATCTGGAAACACGGCGGTGTAATGCTAACGTTAGCCCGCAATTACAAATTACAAATTTTTTATAACTTCAAATTAGATTAAATTACTATAATCCAAAGTTATGAATCATACAAAAGCAATACAATGTTAATGCAACATAAAAGGGGAAGTGATAGACACACATAATTAAATGGGTATCATTCCAATTAAAAGCTTCATCGTTTTAACAACTTATTTCCAACTATATATATTTACTTAAAATTACAAAAAATGAATTGTCAAAGGCAAAACATTGGCAATGAATGTATTAAAACTTAGCAAGCATAGAAAATAAGCATAATTATGCTTGCTACGATTTAATTTATAAAATTGGGAATTGTTTCTTATCCCGAATTAAATTAAGACGAGAATGAAAATAAAAATGGCTAGACAAAATATAAACAATAAACTTGACATTTTTAATGTATTATTCATATTTGATATAAATTCAAGGCCTTCAAGATTGGCCATTACATGTCTCAATTTTTTTCTTTCGCTATCAGCAAATGAGGCACATTTAATTGTAACTTAGTCGTAAGCTCTTAGCGCTTGAATTCTGCTCGTTGATATTAGTTTCGGATGGTTTTGAGCCTGTAAACATTACAAAACAGGAATAGGAAATGTGAGAGATTTGAGACTGAGTACTTAAGCAGTTGATAAGCGCAGAGTGAAAATAATAAGACTCACCGCCAATTTGTCTATTGCCAGTGGCTCGAGACACCACAAACAGTCAGGACCAAAACGCCGATGGCAACCTGCATGCCAAGAATTGATCCCGCATTCGATTTGCTCGAGGAATTGGTTTGTAAGACGTCCTCAATGACATTCTGTTTCTGGATCCCACCATGCATGCCAACAATTGATCCCGCTTCCGAATCGCCATCCGAATCGCGGCTCGATGGTTTGCTCGAGGAATCAATGACATTCTGTTTCTGGATGCCACCATGCAACGCTTTATCAAAAGGAAATTGTGGTAAATTTGAGACATAAATTAAAAAATAACCCAACCCCTTTCCAAAACCAACTTAAAAATGGATTATATATGTATTACCAAAGATCAATATAATCTACATATTTTTATATATTAATATATTTTTAGATTTTTACGGAATTTTCGTCGCCACCAAAAAACAAGCTGCATTTTGCAAATCCAACGTATGGCCGTTATGCATCTTAGACATTATATTGGTCTTTCAAATATTTATAGCCCTTAAATTGTGCCACCTTCTTACTAAACTATTGAAACGATCTTATTTATGCTCCATATTTAAGGTGTTTTAAATATACTTAAACATTGGATATTGGATTGCTCAGCTTACTTCAAAATTGGTTGGCAAGCTGCTAAGCCATTAAATTAACTTTCATTTGTGAATAATGCCTCCATTTACTACTTTTACTACTTTAAAATTATAAATTAAAATTAAACATCGTGGATCACTTACATTCCACATTGATAATAAATTGGACCATCAAATCAGGAGAATCCGATTGCGAGCACATTATTACCATCTTATTGTGCTCGGGCGTCAAGTGAAACTGAATTTCCTTTGTTTTAAAATGTAATAAGAAAGTATCCTTGATCTTGATTTTATGCTGCGGTTTGCTGAAGTTCCACATTGGCTCTCCATCACAAACGACGCATTGGGCTTCAAACTCTGTTCCCTCCTTGAAGTAGCCCTTGCTATTTGGTTCCGAAATCAATCTGATGAAGGGCTTCATTTCTGCCAGAAATTCAAACAGAACAAAAGTATTTATTTAGAAGACAGGAAAGGTCTGTGAGATATTCGTTACTTGGGCGTAATATTTATAATCTTATTAAAAAATAAAGTTTTCTTATAAAGTTTTTTCGCAAACATTTTTTTTATTCCGTTTACTAAAAATTGGGTTTTAAAGAAGAAAGAAGGCAAGACATTTTTGCAGCATTTGTAAGCATTGGATCAGGATCCCAATATTTATCACCCTCAATATTTACAATCAGATAACTTTCGTGAAAGTGGTTAGATTTTATATTACCAACTCCTCGAAAGAGTGATATTTCTGCAAAGTCTGTGGAACCAAGTGTGATCGGATTTTTTAATTTCTCTGTTGTGGGCGATTCCCTGTGCCTCGATCCTTCCACATAATCGAAGAGCTTATAATCCTTATCCTTACTCTGATTATTGGCCAGGACATCAATCACAAAGCCGCAGATCAGTGCACAAGCCACAAACTTTTTAAAGAACATTTTCGGTCAACTTTTATTAATTGTTTCTTATCCCGGATTTATAATTTGTTTTCAATTTTAGGCAGAAAAGCTAGTGTATTTAGGCGAACGCCTCAATGAAGACTGAAGTAAATTGAAGTCTGCCGATCAGGCTGGGCGGCAAAAAGCTCTGCTCCCTTGTCGTAAATTAATTCTGATTTGCGACAAATAAGCGTTTGTGATTTAGCAGCGATGCCTGAATTTGGAACATGGGGGCTGCTAAAAAATTGAATTAGAAATAAAGTCCTTGACAGAGCGTGTGCCAAAATGTATATGTAGGGATACTTCAGTGATGTTTCTGGAAAATTTGATAAAATTTGTATTCACAGTTTTTGAGTAAATCGCATTACAGTTTGCGCAGTTTAAAGGGATTTAAAAGTGCCGCCCGCTCCATTACATAAACCAATTCGTTAGCCATGACATGAACCAACTTATTTTCTGTCGTTTAAAATACCAATCGACGCTAACTTTTGAAAAATTCCTACGCCCCTCTCAGAGCGTGTGCCAAGTCAAGAGATATTTAAAAAAAACTTCTAAGCAATCGAACTAAGTTTATGGAAAGTTTCAATCAAGTCCTATCCACAATGTTCTTGGAATCAATACTTGCTCCACACTTGAGCAGTTCCAGACAGCAACCATCACAAAAATATCACGTCCATGACAACAACCATCACAAAAAAACATTAATTCGACGCTAACTTCTGAAAAAATCCTACTCTCTGTGAGGGGGCGTGTGTCCTGTCAAGAGAAATTTTAAACTTTGGCAAGCCGAAGTTTATATATCCCTGCAGTTATCACAAATCAACTACATTTCGATTTTTATAATTTAATTAAGATAATAATTAATAATTCCACATTATCTAAATACTACTAAATCCCAAAGAACATCAACAAAAAATTAAAAACAACAATGTTATAATTTTTTTGAATTTTTGTTTCCGATTGTTCCTATGGGAGCTATAAGATATAGTCGCCCGATTCGGCTCGTTCCGACTTATATATTACCTGCAATAGAAAGACAACGGACAGACGGACATGGCTAGATCGACCCTCCTGGTGATGCTGATCAAGAAAATATGTACTTTATAGGGTCTGAAATGTCTCCTTCACTGCGTTGCAAACTTTTGACTGAAATTATAATACCCTCTGCAAGGGTATAATGATATCTAACTAATATTTCATTGAAAGCTTTACTTTATTGTCTTTAAAGTGTATAATTATCATGAATTGTTATTCATTATATTGGTAAGATAAATAAATTGCAGTGAATTTTAGACTTACTTTTCACGTCAAATGAATCTCTAAGCTATAGCTTTACCTAAAAATGTTTTTTTGTATAAAAATAATTTATAACTTCAAATTAGATTAAATTGCTATAATACAAAGTCATGAGTCAATACAATGTTAATGCAACACAAAAGGGGAAGTAATATTCACATATTATTAGATCTGCACACAATTTACACTTCGGATCTTCCAAACCCAGTTGCTCGTGGTACACTCCTGGCCACATGTGCAGATGACACTGCATTTCTTGCAGCTGGTAGCACCACTGCGTCTGCCTCCCGACGGTCCAGACATTCTTGGACCAATTTGAGTGCATGCCACATTTGCTCTCCCGTCTGGCCGTTCGCATAGCCTTTACATTGATGGAAATAGGCTCGAGCACGGAGATAAGGTCACGTACCTCGGAGTTACCTTGGACCGTCGTCTTTGTTGGAAGGGAAAAATTGATCGAGTTTGTGGATCAGCAAGACCAATACTTGACAAAATGGACTGGCTCCTTCGTCCAGGTAGCTGCCTGACAATTTGTAAATCCATTTTACTAACAATTTCTAGAAGGCACATTTAGTTATAATTGATTTAAGAGAAAAAACTAGAGTATCAAATCATTTAAAATCATCATCATGTAATCAGTCCACCTATAGGTGTATACTAGTTTCAAAGATAAGAGGTAATATTAGTGGTATGTCGAGGCGCTATTGAATTCATTTTAAACGTTACTTAATCGTAATTAAAAACAAGAAAGAACGCTATAGTCGAGTGCCTCGACTATTAGATACCCGTTACTCAGCTAAACAACTTAATATAAATATGCCTTCTTGTATATTTTTCGCCGCTCGAAATAGCACCTTGGCCAGCTGTTCCAAAGTCATCCGTTAGATGGCGCTACGGGCCATGAAAGGCGGAAATGTAGGCGCTAGCCAGGCTTAAGCGTTTAATGGGTTTTTCGGCGTTAGAGTGGGCGTGGCAAACTTTTATTAGGCCAATCGATATTTATTGACGAAACAAATACATATCAATTAAAATTTTCATAATATCATCAAAACTGTGGCCACAGCTTGTGGCTTGGGGGCGTCAGAGGGGGCGTGGCACCATTTTGAAACAAACTTGCGCTGCGTAGGAACTCCTAAAATCTACACGCAAAATGCCAATCTTCTAGCTTTTATAGTTTCCGAGATCTCAGCGTTCATACGGACAGACAGACAGACGGACAGACAGACGGACAGAAGGAGAGACGGACAGACGGACATAGCTAGATCGACTCGGCTAGTGATCCTGAACAAGAATATATATACTTTATAGGGTCGGAAACGCTTCCTTCTACCTGTTACATACTTTTGCACGAATACAATATACCCTTTTACTCTACGAGTAACGGGTATAAACATCAAAGTTATGGCATTTCCGATCGTTTCCGATCGGCTCCGCCCGAAGTTAGCTTTTCTTTCTTGTTTTATTTTATTTTACTGGAATCACTTGTTATCAGGCCAATTTGATTGTAGTTTGACATACAAATTAACCATATGGTTTCTTTTCGCTTTCATAAAAAATTAGAGATTAAATTTATGGAATATTTGGGTAGAATATGTTTTGATTGGCCTGGTTTATTATTTGTATGTCAAATTAAAATAAAGTGAAGAAATCTATACGCACATGGCGCAGTTTTTATAAAAGCGAAAAAAACCATAACAAATCATAACTGATAACAAGTGATTCCAGTATAATAAAGCCTGAAATAATTTTATTTTTATACCCTTGAAGAGGGTATTATAATTTTGGTCGAAAGTGTGCAACGCAGTGAAGGAGACATCTCCGACCTTATAAACTATATATATTCTTGATCAGGATCGCGACCTGAGTTGATATAAGCATGTCCGTTTGTCCGTCTGTCTGTCTCTACGCAAACTAGTCTTTCAGTTTTAAAGATATCGAATTGAAACTTTGCACACACCCTTCGTTCCTTTGCACGCAGTATATAAGCCGAAACGGCCGAGATCGACCGACGATATCCTATAGCCGCCATATAACTGATTGATCGGAAATGCCATAACTTTGGTGTTTGTGA